GAAATTGGGATTAGTATAGAGCGGCTTAACGGTCGCTATGATGGTCGGTGATATCAAAGACTCATATGATGAGACATTTGCATAGTAATAGAGACTAATGTGGCACGGTACCGTTTAGGTATTTGATGTATGGTTAATTAGCACACAAATAAGCCTTTGAGAGCAAAACGAAAATTTGGCATCGTCGGAAATTGTTCCTTACATCAAAGATTAGACTGTCTCGGCTCAATAAGGAAATAATTTCTAATGAACTTGCAGATAACAACTCCGGCATGGTAAAAGTATTTGATATTATCGTTACGACAAAATTAGTATAATGTGATCGAGAAAGCAAAAAACTAGTCTAGGCTATGCGGAATCTCCCTTTGAGACAAAGCGCATTTCCGGGAATTGCAGCGAAAATGCAGGCAAACTTCTTCATAATTCCTTTTCAAAATACCTAGCTAATGTGGATTTATATGGTATATGAAATTGTATGAATAGACAGTCCTAATAAATATTCAAAAGTCTTATTGCCCTACGAAAATAATCAGGTGCAGAGAAATGGGATTTTAGGCTGTTTCAACACTCTAATTATAAAGTCACCTACGTGATATTGGTTTGCATCATGGTAGTTTTTTTTTTAATTCAAACTAAGTGAAAGCTTACTTGAAAAACTTGACACCTCGTGGTAAAGCATATACATTATGCATATACACAAAAGTACTTCAGTTGAGACCAGTATAACAACACGGAACAAACAAGATAGACGAACTCGTTTCGGCTAAATCGACGTCATCAACGTCTAAAAAGAGAACAAGCGTCATCAGCGTCTTTGTCCTCTTTTTAGACGCTGATGACGGCGATTTAGCCGAAAGGCGTTCGTCAATCATTTTTGCACAAAAGTACGTCAAAATTTTGCACGGAGGATCAGCTTCCGTGGCGGCAGGAAAAACCACAATGCTCTCTGTTCAGCCGATGATATGGTAGATTTGAACTGAATGCCCACTGGGGTCAAACGAATAAGAATTGAGTGAATTCTATATCGGAATACCGATATACACTTCACTCAATCTGTTTTCGTTTGGCCCACTGCCTGGATGTAACATCATGGATGCAAATATCGGTGCCTGAATGAATGATCTCAACACTGCTGCCAGTTTGTCATGTCCCTGCGTCATTTACCCTTCAAACAACTTTTTCTAGATTTGCTTTACAGCATTTTAACCCGCGCCCTGCTGGGGGGGGGGTGTTTGAACACCCCCCCTTGTGGTTTTTCGCGAATATCTCAAAAACGGCGGCGCGGAGCGCCGCCGTTTTTGGTACACCTTATCATACATCAATTCTACACATGTTGTGAAAATTTCAGACCAAGGTCATTCAAGGTCAGGTCACCAGGTCACTTGAAGTGACCTCACCTCATAAAAAGTTTCAATGTCTGTCATAGCTACACCGAGTGACCGATCGCTTTGAAACTTTCAGCGATTGCTAAGAGCAATAGCATGTACAAAATGTATATCTCAGAATTTTGATATCGATGACCTAAGGTCAGGTCAATTTTGCGACCTCCCCATTATAAGTCAATGGGAGAAAATTGAAATGCGCCTCTTTTGAACGAAAGACATTATAAACACTCCCAAACACTGAATTACAAGTGGTTTAGACACACTGAACATGAAAATGGTGTCCGTGACCCCTGTTTATGCCCTGAGGTCATCTTAGGTCACGAATGGTATCTAACAGTTTTTCGCAAATAACTTTTGATAGAGGCATGCTAGAGCGATGAAAACGCCTTAGATGTGTTCAGCTCGACGATACGGATCGACTGATATGCAACATGACCCTTTCCGGTCAGGTCGTGACCTTGACCTGAGGTCAAATTTTCAAGTTGACCTTTCAAGGTCAAGTTATAGTTCATTCGATGCGTCTTGACGAGAGGAACACGATGCCGGTAAAAGTAAGCTCGTACAAGGCTTGGGTCAAAAGTTATTGCAGAAAAACTGTTTCCGAAAAATTCGGCTATTTTTGCAGTTTTTGCCCCCTGCAGGCAAAACCGTTGACGTTAGGTGAAATCTGAGAAAATTACTCAGAAAGGGCGTTAATAGGGCTATCGAATGCGCTTTTCCGCGGCGCTGTAGCTCTATTGGTTCCCGAGTTATGCGTTGGCTTCTTGGAAATTTTCGACATTCGTCCTGGAAATCGGCGAAATTTTGCCTTCAATGACCTCTGGTGACCTGACCTTTGACCTGACCAAAAAATTGACCGAAGTGATTTCGTCATTATTTTTGACGCTCTTTCGAACGCCGCCTTCCGCGTATCGCTACGTGGCCCAGGAGCCGAGTTAGAAGGGGGGGGGGTGTTCAAACACCCCCCCCCAGCAGGGCGTGGAAATCCAGGACCCCCAGCAGGGCGCGGGTTAACTTTTCTGGTGTAAATGTTGTAACATACACTTTCGGGCACAGAAATCGCAAGGATGATCTTATTTTGATACATTAGTTCTACTGCATCCGAGCGAAAAAGGCGACACAATTCTAGACTTTTCGGATTTTGACGTGCCGAAATTTTTGGTCACAGGGTGTCATCCGTGAATACTCGTATGTATATGAATAAACGAATGAAATGCTACTAGTGAATATATTACCCATCGTTTCATGATATATCTATTTGTAGCTTTTTAATTAAAGTTATCCGTAGCTGTGCATCATTACAGCGACAAAGTAGCCCTGTTCCAAAAAGTGTGATATCATGATTTCGTCATCTTCGCACGAATGCATCGAATCACGCGTGATTCCTTACATCAGATGTCGCTTGCATCCGAATGGTATTAACCACCACGTGAGCGATTACACCAAACGGGAGCTAATATATTTAAATAGCCCCTTGTATGTGAGTTCTTGACTGCCGGCAGACTACGTTTCAGCCACCTCACGCGACGGAAGAAAATGCTCAAATCGACGTATATCCGTCTAAATCTGCATTTGTGACTGCCCATTGAACATTGAACTGTCAGATGAAACTAGGCATGCATAGTAAAGTAGCCGATTGTATCTGGTTAGTTGGACCAGGTTTCCAGAGTTCATTGAGTACTTGTTAGATTATAGCTGGGTAGGAATCAATTGAGAAATACTTACCTACGCACGTACAGCCCTCTGCAAACTGCGTGGTAGGTATTCTTTTTTCGACAAAACCGAGAATAACGCGAATACTATGCCATTGGTCACTCGGAAATCGTAACAGTATGACGCGCGAGACTTCGCACCTTAGTTTGGCATTATCATCGTGTTCATTTTCTATCCAGTTTGGCAACAAAATCCAAAAGTTTATATTTGCCCCCAAAACAAACTTTTGCATTTTGTTGCCACACAAGGCGTATACTTTGTCTAGTTATAGATCTAATCGAAGAAGTGGAGCATGGCGCATTTATTTGCAGTGAGTTCCGACCGACTGATAACATAGCCTTTGAGTTATCACCGGTTTTGTCGAAAAAAGAATACCTACCACGCAGTCTGCTGAGGGCTGTACGTCTTTATAATTACGTTTTTTACGCATACAACTGTTATTATAATTTCTATTTTGACAAAAACTTGGTGGTTTGATATGAGTGGTTTGATATGCTATGCATAAAAGATGAATAGGGGAGAGACGGGAGAATTGGGAAGCAGGAAGATAGGGACACGCTAGTATTTAAAAATGAGCAGACGATTTTTGCTTTTACCTTTTGATTTTAGGTGTCGTGGAGCGCTGGGAGTTCTCAGCAACCCTTTTCTGACATTTATATTTGTTTAAAACGACGCAAAATTTGTTGCGTGAATTGGAATTAAGGTTACGATTCGATGCTTACTTATGAACATTTTTGATATATTTGATAATTTGCAGCCCGGTGAGGGAGATAGAAGAGCCAATAAACTACAAACCCACTGTACCAGTAGCTTTTGTGTTCCTTGACTGTCGGAATTTTGTTTATTCGTCGCGCTCCGTCACTTTAGTAAATACCTCTCCCTACATGGTTTTCTGCTGTTTTCAATGAATTGTTTTGATTTAATACAATCAACAAAATCATATTTTGTTTTCCATTTTGTAATAAACATTTTGTTTTACTATTTCTTCTTGTAAAATCTAAGGTTGACATAGATTTGTAATTTGTGGACGCTTGACAATTTACTGCTACTAACGCAGTTGTGCTTAGTTACGAACGTGAGGGGAAGTTCAGTTGTGGATTTATCAAACGGCTTCATTTATGCTCCGTAGTTTGACACGGTGTTATTAATTACGGAAAGGTGTAAGTTACGACAGACCTCTATGAAACGAAACCCTCGACGTAAGTAAAGTTCCGTAAAATGAATGGCTTCAACACTCTTGTAAATTGTAGGTTCTCCTTTCTCAAACACCTTTTACTGCCTCGCTTTGATCGACATATCAGCATATTTTGTTTAAACGTAAAATTCAGCTTCAAGTATCTAGCGCAAAACAGAAAAGAAAATTAGTGGTAAAGTGGTAAAGTAGAGAATCTTTCAACAAATCCTGCTTACCTGTTGGCTATGCTAGTCGACTTCTTTGCTGACTACTTCGCTGACTATTTCGCTGTCAACTTGGCTGACTAATTTCGCTGCCAGCTCCGTTCACAGCTCACCTGACTGATTTACTGTCTACTGCACCGTTTGCCATGAGCGCCACCATCTGAGCGGGAGCGGGCCGGCTAGGCGTCCTGCCCCACTCAACGGCAGGGTACGACTGGCTCGCCGTTCCACGCGCCAGGCCCGGCTCACCTACCGGCACAAGGACCAAGTCTTGACCACGAGAACTAGCACGTCGGAGCACGGGTGGGGGTAAGACACATGGGAGGCGGTGGGAAACGTGGCGGGCCGCTGATTGGTCGGACGGCTAGGAAGAGAGGTTAGTCGGCCGAGAAGTGAATACTTTCATGACCGCACATGACCTCTTGGCAGCAAACTGGATTAACTTGTGCGTGATCAGGCTGGATTCAGTATATAAGTCGGGGGCGAGATGGTTAAATCACACTTCGTCTCAGCAGCTTCAGTGGAGCTGAAGCAGTTCTTTCTCCACGGCTGCTTGGTGCCCTGCTATGAAGCTCTTCACTGTGCTCGTGGTGGTCCTGGCGGCGTGCTCGCTGGCTGCCGCTGAAGAAGCCGCTGCTAAGGAAGAAGCAACGAAGAGTGAAGAGGGCTCCAACCGACAGGGTCGGCTCTTTTTCCTGAGCAAGCTGCTGGCGGGACCTGCTGCGCTGGCCGGCGCTGGTGTCTCTAGTCTGGGACAGAGTCTGTCCAGCTTTGGCAACAGCTTGGGTGGGTATGGAGAAACAGAAAAGACACAGGTACCTGTGGTCGTTGCCGCTCCTCAAACTACGCCCAATGTCATCTACGTGGCCAAGCAGCAGAAGCCTCACAAGCCACACAAAGTACAACGTATCTGTCCCGTACCTCTCTTCACCCGCGGCTGTCCGGCCGGTCACGTTTGTGCCGTGTCTGCCGGCGGTCAGACCCATTGCGAGGCCCAGTACCCGGAGGGAGTGACCTGCCAGACTGGCTTCCAGTGTACAAGTGGAATCTGCCGGCGTCAAACCTGCGCTAGAGATGAGTGCGACAGCGTCTCAGGCCTTCAGAGATGTCCGGCCGGTCAGGAGTGTGTGGCCACCAAGGTGGGTTATCGCTGCCACATCAAGTCGAAGAGAGATCTCTGCCCCATGCTGCTGGAGCAGATGGGATGTACGGAGAATCAGTACTGCGGCTCAGGACCCGACGGTAACATCTGCAAGCCGAAGCAACAGGTTGGAGACTCTTGCACTGTGAACACCCAGTGCCTCTCCGACACTTGCCGCAACAGGAAGTGCAAGGCCGACGCGTGTCCCATGGTCGACACGTCCATCGACTGCACGCACACGCAGTTCTGCTCGCCGGGAGAACACGGCAACATGTGCGTGGCCAAGAAGGACAAGGGAGCACACTGCTCGTCTCGATTGCAGTGCAAGTCTAACGTTTGCGACGACCGCGGAGTATGCATTGAGGACAAGTGCCCGCACCCCTACATGGAGGAGCGCTGTCTTCCGAACCAGTTCTGCAGCCCGGCTCCTTACGGCAACATGTGCATGGACAAGAGGAAGAACAACGACCAGTGCCACCAGAATGCCGAGTGCAAGTCTCGTTTCTGCCGGAACGGTGTGTGCAAGGCCAACGAATGTCCTACGCCGTTCTCTAGCGAGGGATGCAACCAGCTCATCCAAGTCTGCATGACTACTGTCAACGGCAACGAGTGTGTGACCAAGCTCGCCAACCAACAACCCTGCATAACATCTGCCCAGTGCCTGCTGGGCAACTGCGTTAACGGACTCTGTTCCGCCGCTGGCGCCGGAACCCAAATGCCCAACGGCGCCGCCTGCAGCATGCCCACAGAATGCGCCTCGGGCAACTGCGTCCTCCAGCGTTGCGCCGCCACTCGTAACGGCATCAGCGGTGTCTGCATGGACAACGACGACTGCCAGTCCAACAACTGCGTGTTGAACGTGTGCGCGGTTCCTGTGGCCGTCACGACCGCGGCCCCGGATGTCACCGTCACCACAACTGTAGCTCCTACACTCGGCGCTGTGGGTGACGCCTGTACGGTGAATGCCGATTGTCAGTCTATGATGTGTACGAACATGATGTGCACGCAGCTGGCTGCCATCGGAGCAGCCTGTACAGCCAACTCCGACTGTCTGAGTAACAATTGCGCAGGTGTTGCCCCGCTTCAAGCATGCGCTTTAGGTGTAGTAACGACAGGTAACCCTTGCTTGTTTGACCAGCAGTGCGTTCTAGGCGCCTGTGGCACAGTCCTACCAAACATTTGTGTCTGAGTGATCGTTACGTCCGAAATCGGAGGGTACAAGATCGTTACCTCCAATTTCGGAACGTGTAGAAGCTCATTGCTTTCAAGTTCCCCACATAGAAAGTCGCCGATTTATATACCTTTGCGAGGGAATTGAAACCCCTTTTCAGAAAGATAGGTACATGTCCAGGATGCCGAGCAACTGCCTCAATGCTTTACTTGTTGCCATGTGTCATCGTCGTCGCATTTGTCCTGGTTGTTATTGTTGCTTGGCGCTTTAATTGCTGCTACTCGTCGTTACTTGTTACGTTTCGTCATGCTAACATTTACCCCATGCCTGTGCTACTCTGTAAAGCGTAGCATGATAACTAAGTAGACTACCTTATATCTAGTTCGCTCGGTAATAGATGCTTGGAAGCCGCGCCGTTTCGTCGTTGCTGCTAGTCTTTGTTGTAGTTGTCTTGGTCAGTGTCCAGCCAATGTTTGATTTGTGTTTGTGATGTCATCTGTGTATCCCTAGCTTGTTCTTCGCTAGCTATTGAAATAAACAATCTTTATAGGAAACTTATCTCTATTTACAACTGAAAATCGAAGGTGTTGGAAAGTTGTGCTGCAAGCCAAGGACTGTTTTTGCCATACGCAACATAAACCCACGCCCCAGTAGCGGTCTCAGCCAACTTCGCCCTAGTGGGGGGGGGGATATGTTACCAGCCACCTCTAACTCAAAAACTAAGAGGGCTAGAAAGACGCGGTAAAAAGCAGTCGATAGCTCTTGATGCATATGTTTGAAAGTATTTCTGCCATTTTTCATCTTAGGGCAATATTGGGGTAACCAGAGGTCATCAAAGGTCAAAATTTGCGAATTGTCATCATATTTTTCAGAAAACATGCCAATATCTCAAGAACTATGATAGATAGAAAAAGGCTTCAAAAAGCAATCGATAGCTTTTGCAATCTTCTTTTGATAATTTCATCATCAAAAAATGACCTCAGATCAACGGTTTATCCTCCAGAGGGCAAAAACTCAAAAAATAGCTGTTTTTACCAAAAGTGCTTTTCGACAACTTTTGACTAAAAAACGCCATGACATTTCTACTGCCAGAATCGTAATCCTCCCGCCGAGACGCGTCGAATGAACTATAATATGACCTTGAAAGGTAAACTTGAAAATTTGACCCCAGGTCAAGGTCATGACCTGACCGGAAAAGGTCATGTTGCATATCAATCGACGCGTCTCGGCAAGACAAACACAATGAGGCCATCCCCAGCGTTCTATCTCTTTCTAATCGAGAGTTATTGGCAAAAATCTGTTTGTAGCCTCAAATGACCTTGGATGACCTTTCTAGAGGCTATCAGCAAAAAAGACACATTGGTCGTCACGGGTGGTCCAAATCAAAATATTTGGACTGTTCCTATGCGTACACACGGATCTAGAGGCATTTTCGTTTTTATCCATTGACTTATAATGGAAAGGTCACGCCACTGACATGACCTTAGGTCACGGATATCAAAAATCCGAGATATACAAATTGTAGGCGCCTATAACATCATGCAATCCACCAAGTTTAAAACCTCTCTGACAAACACTGCAGGCTGGGCATGATTGCAAACTTTTTAGGCTTGGTCAATTAACTAGAACTGGTGACCTGACCTGATATGACCTGGGGTCGAAGATTTCACACATTGTCCAAAATTGATGTACATACAAAAAGCTAGTCCAAGCGGCGCGGCGCTAAGCACTGCGTTTTTTTTTTGTTCACACGCAAAAAAAAAACGCGACAGGGTGGTAACATATGCCCCCCCCCCCCCCCCCCACTGGGGTGAAGGTTAACTGGAAGCAAGGTGCATCGACTCAAGGACATGCATTTTACTCGATTTTACAACACGTTTCTTGAAATGCCTCTAAATTGTTAAAATTTGACATTACACCTGAACTGTGACGTCACCAATTTGTCCTAGGTCAATGAAATTGGGTCACAAGGTAGACCCCGCTGGGGCTATCAAACACCGTTTGCTGCTTGTCGCTATGTTGCGTGGTTCTCGAGATCTTAGGGGGAGCAAAATGCCCCCCCCCCCCAACAGGGCGCGTTGCTCGGCAGACCACAACAGGGCGCGTGATAACAGAGAGGCCGGAAAATTGACCTGACCCTAGGTCACCGATATCAAAATTCCGAGATATACATTTCGTATATGTTACAGGCCGTATGAAAACTCCGTCCATTTGCAAACCGCCTGAAATATTAGGCAATTTTGAAACGAACTACTAAAACAAACTGGCAGTTTGAAAACGGCCTAGTCAGTTTTCAAACGGCGTGACGAAGTACGACAGCCTCTGATGATGACTTGATGGAGCCAGACTGGTCGATAATCGGGTCTGCGGAAGTACTCGTCTGCGTCGAATATTTTCAAACTGTGCAGGTGCTCGTCCCGACCCTGTTCCCGGCAATATTACTTTAAGATTTTACTCTAAGGTTTTATATTTAACCCTCGCCCGCACATGGGGGGGGGTGGTTGCCACCCCCCCAGGTAGTCTTTCTGCTCTGCACTCAACATTTTTAGAGCTAGAAGGCTGATTTTTCGTATAGCTGCTCCTCCATCCTTTCTTGATGTCCACTGAAAATTTCAAGTTTCTGTGATTTTTGGTTTCGGAGATATGACCTTGTTTTTTAGGTCATGTCATGACCCAAATGGCCAATTCTCAACATCTTGCGCTTGCCATGGGCCTTGTGAGCTTTTGACACCCTGATTTCGGCCTTTTTTGCCAGTCTTACCTCCCACCTATCATGGAACATGTTGTTCGACGATGTACAGGGGTCAAGGTCAGGGTCAAGGTCAACCTAGGTCATCTAGGATAATTGCGTTTTAGGCAAGCTGAATTTACTTTTTGTGAAGTTTTTTGACTGCATTTTTGGTAAAAGCTTCTCAGATCATGATTTCATGTAATATGGACCCAAAAACAATCGGTGCACACATCAGTATACACACAGACACACACAGACATACAAACACATATAACTGACCTTGACCTAACTTGACCTGAAATGACCTCAGCAGCAAAATTATGGTCGGGTAGTGTGACAAAGAGGTTCTAGCTGGCTTGGCACCAGAAAACAGCATCGTCATCGGTATTTGATAAGCAGCGCACTTGATATCCAACGGTGACCCAAAACAGCAATATTTTTTAGTTTGACCTGACCTGGAAGGTCAATGACTGACCTGAGAAGGTAAAACTGGGTATCATTGGATTCGTCTCTTCCCAAAGAATCTTTTTGGTCTTTACTGTTAAGCTCTATCTCCAACAGGAACGAAATGGCGCGGGGGGGGGTGGCAACCACCCCCCCCCCCCCATGTGCGTTCTAGGATGGGAAAATGGCATGTGCGGGCGAGGGTTAAGGTTTTACAATTCATCCAGCTGATGGAACCTGGTGAAATCATGCCACAGGCCATTTCGTGGGGGAGCCAAAATGCCCCCCCCCCCCCAACATTGCTCCATTGTTGTTGCTCGGCAGACCACAACAGGGCGCGGGATAATAGAGAGGCCGGATTCCGCGGGATAATAAAATGAAGTTTACTTGGCCTGAAGTATGCTAAAGAATATCAAGAACGGCGGCCATGGGGCATCCATTGCCAACAGTCTTGTTTCAACGAACTATTGCTCTCAACATTGCCCAGCTATCTTCACACTGACTAGACAATTTTCAAACCGCCTAGGCCGTTTGCAAACGGCCTGGTAGCTACTCAATAGCTGCCATACGGCCAAAGCGGTTTCCAAACAGCCTGACATTTCAAGCGGTTTGCAAACGACCTGGAACTTCAGCCCGTTTTCAAACGGCCTGACGTCTCAGTTCGTTTACAAACTGACTGGGCCGCCCAGGCGTTTTTTTTTTTTTGCCACGGCCTGACTCGGGCCAGGCTTGCAAATGGACGGAGTTTTCATACAGCCTGTAACATATATATGTAGCTACTGTTGCTCGTATCCATCGCTGAAAGTCAGTGATCGGTCACTTGGTGTAGGTATGGCTGACATTGAAACTTTGTATGAGGTGAGGTCACTTGAACTGACCTGGTGACCCGACCTTGAGTGACCTTGGCCTGAAGTTTTCTCATAATGTGTAGAAAAGATGTATGTTAAAGAATGTCAAGAACGGCGGCGCTCCTCTCAGCCCTTTTTGAGAAATTCATGAAAAATATCAGTGGGTGAGGGAGGGGTGCTCCACCCCCCCCCCCCCCCCCCCAGCAAGGTACGGGCTATTATAATTCCATGCTTCATCTTTTGTGGGCACGTTCTATCAGTTCACTAAAAAGCACATGGTCATCAGCCAACTGTTGTATCTCAACTATCTGCTCATTAGCAGCAAAGACGACTATCATGTGCATTTCTTTTAAATTCTGCACTGCAGGAGGCCAACGTCAATCATAATTATCTTTGGGATCATCATTTTTCCGTCACGTTTTTGTGATGCTGCCCGGCATAGTTTTATGGAAAACCGGTCAGAGAAACGTTACGGGTATGGGCTCGTGGTTGGGTCTTAGCAAGATAAGATGCCACACTTACGGGCTTTGGCTGCTAACGGGAGTGCTGAATAAGTAAAGAGCTTTGAGGGATATGATGAAAAGTTTAGGAAAAGGATAGTAGGTATTCGGTAATGAAGCGAAACAAAGGCATGGAAGGGAACAAGTTGATAC